CTTGTAATAGTTGTTCTTTATTACCGGGACATTTGCCCAGAGCCAAGCCATTCATGTATAAATTTAACAGTGATTTTTTGAACTCTTTATTCTGTATCAAGGAGCTTGCTACTTATTTACTGCTGCTTGGAGGCTGTATGACAAACACCAGATAAGGGATGACGCTTGATGTAAGATGGAGTAGGAGGTCCAGAGGCTTAACAAAAAACTGAAGCATGCAGATATAAGGGAGGGGTATTCTGTAGTTTTATAAAGATTTCCACAAAAGAAAGAAATATTAAGGATTTATTTTGAATACATATTTTTAAAAAGAATTATTTATTTAATTTTATTTATGATTGTGATTATATTTTAAATTGCTGTATGGCACATGTGCTCACCAGAGAGAGACAGAGAAAGAGAGATAGAGAGTGAGAAAAAGAAAGTGAAAAAGCCAACTTCCAGGTCTGGGACTTGAACAGTGGTTGGCCATGTGGCAGTCCAGTGTCTTAACCACCACACCACCTGCTGGCCCCTTGAATACATATTTTTACAGTTAGTTTAACAACATTGACCGTGACTTCATGACATACTGATTTCATCAATTTATATATCCTAAGCCCAGAAAATACTTCCCAAAGGTTTGCTTGCTATCCGTAACTTCTGCCATGCACGACAGAATATAGATACTGTCTCACTCCTTAGTGAATTGGTGTATGTAGCTTTCTGGAATTTTTCTTTTATTCATGTATTTTAAAACTCACTAGATTTTTATTATTAATTAATTAATTTAATTTTTAGTTTTTTTGCCATAGGGCATGTATAATCACTAGAGACAGAAAGAGAGAGAGAAATCACCCCCCTCAATGGGGATGACCATGCCACAGTCCCTTCTCTATTCCTATCTCAAAATTCTTCTCCTCTATTCTCCTCCCAGGATTTTGGTCACACACGCAGATGCGCCCAGTGTGATTTTCAAGCTTCTGGGTCCAGGACTTGACTCACAGTTGTGATAATCTACCACCTTAACCACCACGCCACCTGTTGGCCCCTAGATTTTTATTTTTATACTTAGCCTATTTGGGAAAAAAACTAGAAATTTCTTTCTTTTCTTTTTTTTTTTTTTTTTTTTTTAGAGATTTTTGCTACAGGGCAGATGCACTCACTGGAGAGACAGAGACAGTGACAGAGTGAGAAATCACCCCCCAGGGGGGCTGGCCATACTGCAGTCCCTTCTCCTCTGTTCTCCTCCTGGGATATTGGATACACGCATACATGCACCTGGTGTGAGTTTCAAGCCACCAGGTCTGGGTCTCAAACTGTGGTCAGCCATGTAGGAGTCCAGTGATGTAACTGCTAAGCCATCTGCTGGCCCCTAGAAATTTCTTAAGATAATTTAAACTAGTGTCAACTTGAGAACAGTGTTAGAAATGGTAAGTTAATCTTGTAGACATTTTGTATCTAGAGCCCCTATACTTGTGGCCTCAGAAGTAAGATATAAAGATATTTCATTTTCCTCCTTGTTTTATTAGAAAATATTGAAAAATGGGCAAAAAGTAAAAGAAAAAAAACCCCTCTTATTTAAAGACAGGATAGAATTTTACAGGTTAACTATCCTTTATCCAAAGTGCTTGGGATGGGAATTATTTTGTGTGTTTTTTTTTTTTTTTTGTGGCTTTGGAATATTTGTATATATTTAATAAGTTATCTCAGGAAGGGGACCCAAGTTAAACATAAATTCATTTATGTTTCATATACATTGTATACATTTAACCTGAATGTAATTTCATATAATATTTTTGTACTGTAGCATTTTGACTGTGACCTGTCGCATGGGGTTGGTGTGGAATTTTCTACTGTGGTGTCATGTCGTTGCTCAAAAAGTTTCATATTTTGGATTTTTAATTTCCCGATTAGGGATGTTCAACGTGTATATTAAAAAAGTTTCCCGGGGACTAGCGGTTAGTGTAATGGCTATGTCGCTGGACTCCCACATAGTTGACCGTGGTTCGCGTCCCAGACCCGGTGCCTTAAAACTCAACGCCGGGCATGTGTGCATGTGTGCCCAAGATCCCAAGAGGAGAATGGAGGAGAAGGGATTGCGGAGTGGCCATCCCCCTTGGGGGGTGATTTCTTGCTTTCTGTCTCTCTGTCTCTCTCTGTCTGTCTGGTGAGCACACGCGCCCTATAGCAAAAACCTCTCCAAAAAAATAAATAAATAAATAAAAGTTTCCCCAGGCCAGCAGATGGTGTGATGGTTTAAAGCTTTAGATCCTATGGGGATGACTCCATGGTTTGAATCCTTGACTCGGCTTGACGAGCATGCCAGGTACAGTGCACGCATGCCCAAAATCACGAGGGGAGAATGGAGGAGAGTGATTTCCGTGTGGCCATCTCCTCTGGGGGGCCATTTCTCACTTATCCTCTCTCTATGTGTCTCTCTGGCGAGCACATGCTTCCTATGGCAAAAGTCTTTAAAAACAAAACAAAACAAACAAAAAGAGGGGACCGGCAGATGGCATGTTGGTTAAAGGTGCTGGACTCCCACATGTAGTAACCTCTTGTTACCATATGTAGGCTCGAGTCCTGGAGCTGGTGGTTTGCTTTCTCCCTTTCTCTTTCTGTGTCTTGCTCTGGTCAAATTAAAAATAACAACAATGAGGGAACCAGCAGTTAGCGTAATGGCTATGTCGCTGGACTCCCATGTAGTCGACCGCGGTTCGTGTCCCGGACCCGGTGGCTTGAGACTCACGCCGGGCGCGTGTGCGTGCGTGCCCAAGACCCTGAGAGGAGAATAGAGGAGAAGGGATTGCGGCGTGACCATCCCCCCTGGGGGGTGATTTCTCGCTTTCTGTCTCTATATCTCTCTCTGTCTGGCGAGCGCACGCGCCCTACAGTGAAAATCTCTCCAAAAAAAAAAAAAACAAATAACAACAGTGATAAAGGAAATAATTCTTTAAACAAACAACCAAATAAACAGAAAATAAACAGACAGAACCCCAACCATTCAGTTCTACCTTAGGCTGACATTTTGGCACTTACTGTATTGACTTCCAAAGGTATTTTTAAGTACTGTTGTTAAAAAAAAAATACACTGATGTGTTGTCTGCTATCTTTCATGATAGCAATTTTTAAACATTCCTTTTCCATACTTATCTCTTATTCTGCTTCGATCTTTATTTTTATTTATTTTTTTAGATCAGTTTATTTTTCAAACTAACAAATGAGGCACATTGTTTTTTAAAAAATAAAATTATGTAGGCATTACGTGATAGACAGTGAAGACTTCCCTTATCACCATTCTCAGGGATAATTAATGTTTTTGGCATGTGCTTTTCTAGATAATTGTGAACAATTTGTTAACATAACTTTTTTTTTTCTTTTAAATAAAAACGGGATCTCACTTCTTACACTCTCACTTGTACCTTTCACTCATGGGTGCTTTCATTTCTGGCTGCTCTTTCTTGTTATCACAGGTTGGTCTAGCACAGCCTTTTTGGTGGCTACATAATATTTCACAGACTGAATCTACTGTAACCTCGTAAGCTGGTTTTCATTAAAGGGCCTCCAATATTTTGCTATTGCGAATAACACAGCAAGCGTTTTCATATCTTGTACAAAGTGTGCATTTCTGTAGGATGGTACCTAGACATGGATTTCCATGGTTGGAGGGATTGCACAGGTACATTTTTGCTATGATTTGAAGTTTAACTTCTTTTTCAAGACATTCGATAGTATGCAATCATAATAAGGTTCTGATTTGAGGATAAATTTTGTTTAAAAGGAAAGATAGATTCCTTTCTGAGGGACCTCGTGAGACATTTATGGAGGTGTTTTTTGTTTGTTTTTCTCCTCATGTTTTAGCATGAATTTTATGTGACATGAAGAACTTTTGAGATAGTATTACTTGGTCTGCCCATTGCTTTAAAAAAGAAATCTGTGTTCTTATTGTTGGCATCCCCTTGATAATGTTTTTGTTTTTTTTGAATGTCGATATTCCTCATAATGAACCACAGTATTTTTAGTTTAGTTTTAGTCTGTATAGCGTGGTATAGGATGGATATAAAATTGTTCTATGGGGTAATTAATCTTAAATGTATGAAGATGACTCCATCAATAACCCAGGTTGTCATTATGCTTACGACTTTAAATCCTCTTATAATCTTGAAAGCATATGTTCTTTTTGAATAAAAGAAGGCTTATAAATAAACTTCAAACACATTTTATTTTACCAAAGAAAAATCTAATTGAGGCTATAACCTTTACTTCTAAAGTCATGTACTGTGAACTTTTTATACTACACACAAGTACGTGTTTAGCACTTTCTGTAGGTAATATCTTCACAAAACTCAGTTCTTTCACCTATGTTTTTTTAGTTCAATTTACTCCAGCTGTTTTTATAAATAGACATATCAAATTGCTGTTTGAGAAATATCTTCAAATTTCAGGTTCATATTTAAAAGACAAATGTGTTCCTAATTCTTTATTGCTGGGACAGTTTTTCTTTTTTTAGACAGAGTTTTTTTTGCTATAGGGCACATGCATTTGCTGGAGAGACAGAGAGACAGGAAGTGAGAAATCAACCCTCGCCCCCTGCCCTCCCAGGGGGATGGCCATGCTGCAATCCCTTCTGCTCTGTTCTCTCTGGATTTTGGGCATGCATGCATATGCACCTGGCCTCTGTTTAAGCCTCCAGGCCCAGGACTGGAACTGCAGTCAACCACATGGAGTTCAGCAATATAACCATTACGCCATCTACTGGTTCCATCTGGGCAGTTTTTCTAAGCATTTGAGGACCTCAAAAGTCAACTCATTAATCAGCGTATAGACAAATATTGGAAGATGGACATTTGTATTTAATATATAACTTTATTTTGGGTTTTTGACTTTATTTTTTGCTACTTTAAGATTTCATAATCTTTTTACTCTGCTTTGTAAATGTAAGACATTATACTTTTGAGGAGATGATAGTAGGTTAAAGATGATTTCTCTCCTCTCTCTGTTTATTTTTTTTTTTACAGGAAACAAACATCACTGTGGGTTCAAGGAGACATTTTCCGATCCAAGCTGAAAAACAGACCATCCAGTGATGGAAGTATTAATAAGATTCTTTCCAGCTTGGATGATATGTCTATTAGTGGAAACTTATCTAAAATACAAAACATGGAAAGATTTGGAGAGGTGAGTTTTCTCTAGCAAGATTGTTTTCTCAAGACTAATGTTCTGCATGTGTTTCCTAGTTGTGCACATTAAAAAGGGCAAGACTGCTTCTCTGAGATGCTGAGAGTACCAAAGTTTTAGACAGGGAGCCATCCACCTATAAAGCAGGAAGCAGAGCAAAGAAACCAATTACCCTGAAATTTAAGAAAGGCTGTAATTGAGGGAGTGCAGTGATAAAGAAAGCTACTCTCATAGGGAGAAATTTACAGGAAAAAATAGAAAAGCAAGCTTTCTATTTGGAAATTGAAATAGATATCAAAAAGAAAAATTTTAATGCACCATTTCAAAAAATAGCGGGTACTTCAAGTGGTACTTTGAATGCTTCAAATTCATGTTGATTTCTAAAAAGCAGAGTTGAAAACATAATTTGGGGCCTTTTTTTAAAAAACTGATATTTATTTTAAACATGCCATCTTAAATAGTTGATATATGTTGTCTGGTTTAATCTTCATAACTATTGGGTGTGGTGGGTCCTATTATCTGTATTTTATAGTAAGGGGATTGCATATCAGAGATGTTATAACCCAGTGTTAAACCTGATTCAGTCCGTATCTGTCTGATTCTAAACTCGTGTTTCTCTATTATGCTCTGTTCCCTTTGAATAAAAATGGAAGGGGTCTAAGAATTTGGATTAGGAGCATTTTTGAATTAGAAGCAACCCAGAAACCATTTGTTCTAGTCCCCTCCTGCACAGGTATGAGCCCGCTGTGGCGGAAACGTGACTTGCGCGGCTGCAGGGTCGTGAAGGGGTGGCCCACTGTGAGAACTGGACGCCTGCTCCCTCAATGAGATCTGCCTTCCATGTCATGCCTGCAGTGGGGACTAGCGCCCAACTTACATTGGCTTTATCTATTTATAATTTTATTTATTTATTTTACATTCTTTCACTGAGCATCATCACAGCATAGAAAATGTGATTTCCCATCCAGAATACACTGTATAGTGGCTTAATTACATATGTTATTGTCAACATATAATTTCTCATTGATTGTTTCTTGTATACGTATTCTTCTCCCCATTTCTCACCCTCTGCCATTTCCCACACCCCTCCCACACCATCTCTGTTATCTGCAGTTGCTTTCCATTCCTTTTTAAATTTTTATCCACATTTTATTGATTCACAAAATATCTCAAAGGAGCAAAAGGGGAAAACAGCTGTGAAAATATTTAAACATGGGGGCCAGCAGCTGGCATGGTGGTTAAGGGCACTGGACTCCCACATGGGCCGACTGTGGTTTGAGTCCCGGACCTGTTGGCTTGCTTTCTCACTTTCCTTATCTCTCTTTCTCACTTTGTCCCTTTCTGGTCAAATTAAAAATGAATAAATAAAATTAAATGAAGTAATTCTCTAAAAAAAAAAAAAGAAAAAATTTAAACAGCAGGATCAGCAGGTGGCATGGTTGTTGGGGCACTGGACTCCCACAGGGCCGACTGTGACTTGAGTCCCAGAACTGACGGATTGCTTTCTTACTTTCTCTCACTCTGTCTGTCTTCAATGCCTTATAGCAAATTAAAAAACAATAGTAATAAGTGAAATGAAATAAATTAAATAAATAAATAAAATCTAAAAAAAATTAAACAGCAAGTGTAGATTTATGTTTACATCAGTCAGTGGTCCTTAGACCCAGATAAGGGACTTGGACAGAGTATTATGGCTCGATCTTAGCTCTCAAGGAAGCCTGAGTGGTAGGACTTTATCAGAGCTCTCCAAGGTCAATGACTGCATCTCACACATATTTCCCTTTTTCAAAAAAGTTTATTTCCAGTGAGAAAGAGAGAGAGAGAAACATCCCTCCCTCCCAACAGGGCCCTTACGCTGTGACCCACCCCCATTCTCAGCTGGCCTGGATTACGGACACATACACACAGGCCCAGAAGGCCCAGGGAGGTCTTGGGAGGCAAACCCAGGACCTTTGCCCCCCAAACAGATATTTCCTTCTTTTTTAAACAAGAAAGACAGAGATATTTCTTCATTTTTTAAGCAAGAAAGAGAGTACTTGGAGATTAGAGAGCTCTTTCTTTGATTTTTTTTTTTTTTTTTATTCATGATAGACCACGTGCATACATGAGAGAGAGTAGGAAGCATCCTCCACAGGGTCTGGCCATGCTGCAGTCCCCGTCCAGTCCTCCAGTCTGTCAGATCTTGGGCACTTGCACGTGTGCCTAGCGAGTGTCAGGCTGTCTGAGCTGGAATTCGAGCCACACTCGCCATGTGGGATCTGGCCTTTCTTGAGTGGTGCTTTACTGCTGCACCGCAGAGCCAGCCCAAGAGTTTTCTGGAAGGAGGAAAGATGGAGACCCCTGGAGGAAGTATTGTTTAAACCCCTTTGTCTGTTCTCCAGGGCAGCCACTGACAAAGTGGCTCCAGGAACTCGTTTGAATCACCTGCCCACGAGCTTAGCCAAGGTCTTTGCTGACTCTTGTCCAAGAGCTGCAGTCTGGCCTATTAGATGCTAACAGAAAGGATCTACACTAACATTTTAATATGATGATGTCGCAAGAACATTTTTTCCTGGTCTGTTCAGCATTTCCTTCCTAGGCTGAGTTCCAGTAAATAGGGCTTTGCATTATAAACTCTGAACAGACAAATATAAACGTATTCCTCTCTCTGAGAAACACGTACCTTGCAGGAATGTAGTGCTGTCTCATAACCTGTATTACGCTCATGTCTGGTAGTTTGGACATTTCATTCTTGTACATTTTTAGAACCCAATTTGTTAAACTTAAGAATAATTACCATTTATTTGTCAGTGAAAAGGTAAGGAATGTGATATGATCACATAAAACTTAAAATAAGTAAGTTTTAAATCAAAGTATCTATTCAGATGTGGGACTACCCACCTCCCCCGAAACTCTGTGTGTGTTTGGTCTGCTATAACTAAATGCCGTAACTGGAGTAGCTCTTAAACAACAGAAGTGTATCTGTCATAGTTTTGGAGGGTAACAAGTCCCAGATTAAGGCTTCAGCAGATTCATTGTCTGGTGAGGGTCTGTTTCCTGGTTCACAGATGCTTCCTTGTGTCCTCACATGGTGGACGCCAGACAAGCTCCCTCAGGCTGCTTTTGAAAGGACACTGGGACCAGCAGTTAGTGTAATGGCTATGTCGCTGGACTCCCACGTAGTCGACCGCAGTTCGAGTCCCGGCACTGGTGGCTTAAAACTCAGGCCGTGTGTGTGTGTGTGTGTGCGCGCGCGCGCGCGCACGCGTGCCCAAGATCCTGAGAGAATGGAGGAAAAGGGATTGCAGCGTGGCCATCCTCCCTGGGGGGTGATTTCTAGCTTTTGTTTTCTCTGTCTTTCTGGGGAGCACACACGCCTTATGGCAAAAACCTCTCAAAAAACCAAAACCAAAACCAACCAAACAAACAAAAAAAACAAAAGAAAGGACACTGATTCCTTTTATGGGGGCTCCACCTCATAATCTAATCACTTCCCCAAAGTCTCAGCACTTAATACTATTACCTTGGGAGTTAGAATTTCAATATGTGATGTTGGGGCCTGGGGGGGGGGGATGCACAAACATTCAGGAATCCAGACACTCCCCTCCCTCAGTAACTATTTTCCCTTTAGCCACTTAGAATGCTTTTGTTTCTAAAATTAGAGGACAGGAATGAAAGAGTTCAGAAATGCCATGAAATAATGGTTAATGTTTTATACAGAAACATGTATATGACTTTTAGAACACTTTATAGCTACGTAGTGTTTCGTGTGAGTAACTTTCAAACCCTTTCTTGCCATTTTTATCTGGTGCAAGTGCTGGAACAATCCATGAACATGGGAAATTAGTTTACTCAAAATTGACTTCCTAGAATTAGTGATACCTTAATTATTCTTATAATTGCAAGTGAGAAAATCAGTTGAGAATGCCATAATGATTTTAATGTTTTTTAAGTTTTATACCAATATTTGGGGTAGAAGCCCATGGAAATTCTGGGTTTATTTAGTGACAGATAGTGCAAAAAAGGCAGTGTCCCTCTAGAGATTGCCTTCTCCACCGCCAAATGAAAGGTTGAAAGCAGAGATTCTAAATTAGTTTTTGCTTCCTTAGCTTACAAGAGTGTTCTCGTGATCAGTAATTACAAAGCTCTGTAATTACTTGATTGAGACGGTTTGATTGCATAGTTTTTCACGGCATAGGAGGTGAGTACAAGGGAAACGATAACCAGGACTTTCTAATGGACTAGGCTGTGTCTTTAATGAATTTGCTTAACCCACATAGGGTTATAAGAAATGGTTTTAAAAACAGAGGCTTACTTTTATTGAGCCTGGTCTTCAGTGCTGGGCTAGCCATAGTGACACATAATCAGCCAGACGGTGGGTCTAGGGTAGCTTGCTTTGTTCTCTTGCCTTGCACTGTGCTTTTCCTTTAAGGTGCTTTTCTCCTCTTCCCTACTAGCTGATAACTCTTTTTAAGAGCAGAAGTTTTTAATCTGTCCTCATCTTGATTCTATTCCTGGCCCACAAGGCCTTAATAAATATTACGTGAATGAATAAAATAGACTTAGGGTTTTTTTTTTTTTGAGAGTTTTTTACTATAGGGTGTGCACGCTCTCCCGAGAGAGAGAGACAGAGAGACAGCAGAAATCCCCCCACAAGTGGGATGGCCACACTACAATCCCTTCTCCTCCATTCTCCTCTCGGAATCTTGGGCACACACGCACATGCGCCCAACGTGAGTTTAAGCCACCAAGTCAGGGACTCGGAGCACAGTCGATTACATGAGAGTCCAGCAACATAGCCATGACACCAACTGCTGGTCCCTAGACTTATGTTTTGGGACTTAAAAAAAATGAGGATGCAGACGTGAAATTGCTAGTATCTAAGCTTTACAAGAGTAGCTATGCTCAAATACAAAATAGTATCAAGGATGAAGCGTTCATTTTGCCATTTAGGATCCTAAGGGTCTGTTGTAAACTGGGGTTATTAAAAACTGTTTTTTGGTTTTTTTTTTGAGAGGCTT